ATCCTTCACATAACTCAAAAGAATCAATTTTTGGTAATCCAAGAACCATACATTTTTGACCCAACAATTTTAGCCCCTTAAAATTAAGATGTCCATACTGCAAGTGCCACAATTTGGAGTTATTTTGTTCACCAACAACAAGAGCAAAATTCTCCACATTTAAGGCTTCAAATGGAAACATTCTATTTTTGGTCATGTGAACATTAACCATTGTTTGTCCTGATTGTTTATCTTTAATAATACATGATCCATCATCAAATAAAATTCAATATCCACTAGCCATTAATTGCCCAACACTTAATAAATTATGTGCCATACTAGGAACAAATTGAACGTTATGAAGTTTTACTTTACCATGGTTAGTTTTGATTGCTACTGTGCCACTTCCTTGAACCTGAATTTCTTTATTATCACCAAGCTTGACATTCATTTTTTGAGTCTCATCAAGCTCTTTAAATAACGCCTTCATCCTTGACATATGATTGGAGCAGCCACTGTCTACAAACCATATATCACCTGGAACTTCATTAGTGTCATAATGGGCCACGAATAACTTACTTTCTTTCTCAATTTCTTTTGCATAATTCACTTGTTTCTCCTTGTACCTACAATATGCTTTTACATGCCCGAACTTCTTGCAATGATGACATTGGATGCCACTTTTGTAGCCACTTTGCTCATTGGTGAAGTGCCTTTGTTCAAAACCTCTGCCTCTACCTCGACCACGACTTCTTCCATGAAATACACCTCTGCCACGTCCTCTTCTGGCTATTTTATCAAACTCTCTGGAATTGAATGCCTCACCCATCACTTGAAATGCCTTCTCTTCATGTTTTTCAGCTGACCTATTTAGCCTTCCCTCATGAGCTTGCAAAGAACCCATCAATTCATCAAATGAAAAGTTTGACGTCTTTGGACTCTTCAATTGCAACTATAACATGATCAAACTTAGGGCTTAAACTCCTTAACACTTTTTCAACTACAGTTTGATCAGTTATTTTGTCTCCATATGACCTCATTTTACATATAATTGCCACCGCTCTAGACAAAAAATCCTGCACTGATTCATTGCCTTTCATGAGCAAAGTTTCAAACTTATGCCAAAGAGTTTGGAGTTTCACGGCTATTACTTTTGATGACCCTTGAAACTCAGTTTGCAAAACTGTCCATGCTTCCTTTGAAGTGTTAGCTGCTCCAATTCTTGAGAAAACAGTATCATGAAACTGCTTGTTGGATGAAGAACAATGCCTTTGAGTTCCTCTCTCTCTCTCTCTCTTTTTTTCCCCTCAATCGATTTTCTTCATCTAGGTCTGTAAACTCATTTCTACCAAGTCCCATAGGTCTTGAGACATAAATAGTGTCTTCATTTTAATACTCCAGAATTCATAACTCTCTCCTTTAAAAATAGGCATGGCAGGTTGTGAGATGCTCAGTGAATTTCCATTTGAAGCCATGGTGTTTCTCTATTTCTCTCAAGTGTTTTACCCACTAATATCAATTGAATCTGAATCGAGGCTCTAATACCACAAATGTTAGGAATTTAGAGTAGTAGAGTGTTGAGAGAAAGTTGCAGAGAAAAAATAACACTTAGAAATGCAGAATATGCAAGTAATCTGCTGCACATTTTATTTCAGAACTGAAGGGGCCTATATATAGGCCTACAAGCAACTGAAAAACTAAAAAATCTCAACTAATATCAAATATTATTGCCACTACATTCAGATTTATTTGCTGACCAGAAAAATAGTAACTTAAAGAGAAAGAATTCTGTTGGAATAAATATTAAAGACTAAGTCAAATTTGGATAATTTTGAATCAACTTTCAACACTTGTTTGATTCTCATTATTTTCAAAATTCGTTTTCCTCTTTTCTTTTTAATTACTCATTTTTCAATAAAATAATATTACATAGAAATTCAAAATATTTCTTTATTTTTTAATTAAAG